TGCACGCCAATCCTGATTTGGCATCTTTAGCATCCAGGGATGGGGAGTGGGGTCATCAGAATAGAAGGCCCATGGCTTATCTCCACCAACACTCCCTTCAATTTTTAAAAGTTGCAGTACACAATCATATCTTACGAGCAACAAATCTGAAGACCATACACATGTAAACAGGTTGGTATATTATGATCAAAGAAAACAAACAAAAAGTTAATCTGAACTTTCGGTTGTAGAGGGCAGACCGAAACCACATACTAACCTTAGCTGTAACCAAAACTACAAAAATGACAGTGCAGTTCTGTGTGCGCATGCGGATGCACAGCATATATGTTTATATACGCCTATGTACGCACAGTAAATATACTGCATATAATATAGATAACTATATGTAGTTAAAACAGCTTATATGTATATATACGTGTGCGTGTGTATAAAGCATAACTCCACAAAGGAAAAAGGAATGGGAGAGGAAATCATAGCTAGGAGCCAAGTGGAAACTGATTTAGCAGATCTAAAAACATCAGGGCCTACGCTGGTGGTACTGTCTGTAAAAGAAAGCTGCAATCTAGTTTATACTGCAAAATTCCCAAACGGCTCAAGAGTTTGTGGTAAGGAAACTTCTGGAAGTGGGGTTAAAACCAAATGATTAGTTTAAAGGCTGTCTAAGAAGCAGCCAGATGTTCCCAGGTCGGCTCCTTCCCACGCAGCTGGGCAATGCCTTCCATCTTCGCTCCAGCAGAAGTCTAGAGTCTCTTCTCCAAAGAGGGTAAATGCTGAAGGTCATGGGACAGCAGACCCAGCTGAGAGCAAGGGTGCTGCCCTGACAAAAGCGATCTTCCAAGCCCTCCTCCTCTTCTTCCTTCTGGAAGGCATAAGATCGAAAGAACCCTCCTCTCTGGGAAATCTAGCAGCCCCAGAAATATGGCCTAAATACGTTACGGATTCCCCAGGAAAAGGCTCGCACGGCCACCCTAACTGAGGCTCGGCTGGTGAGACCCGGGACTGCGTGCAGCTTACGCCCTGGTCGGCTGTTCCCTGCGCTACTGCTGAGTATGACGAGGCACCGAAGCCTGACAGAAACCTGAGGAAAGCTTATGACATTTATTCTAATATCTAAGACAACAGAATCAAACAAATGGGAGACTGTGCAGAAAGAAGAAAACTTCTAAAAGAGTATTCTTCTCAGAGAAAGTAAGAAATAAACAAGCCTCTATAAAAAAGAATATTCAGAGAGAAAACTTCTTATAAATTAAGAAAACCCCACAACACTGCAGAAACAAAAACACAACAGGAAGGTTGTACGATAAATGTGAGAAGTTTCTCACAAAGTAGAATAAAGACAAAAGAGATAAAACATGAAGAAAAATATTTTAAAATCTCTAAAGACCAGGATAGGAGATCCAACCACTAACGATGAATTAAAAACAGGAGCAGAGGGAGTCAAAGAAATAATTAAAAAAAGAACTTCCAGAACCTGAAGATGTTAGACTCCCCACTAGGAGTAGAACGTCACATCCAGAACTAAATGAACTTTAAGAAAACGGGGAAGAGCAGAAGGTTCTGCAACAGAGACAGACAGACAGACAGACAGACACTGCAGAACAACAGTGCAAAGGATTGATATTTGGAGGTAAAATGATTTCCAACTTAGGTTTCTATATCCAGCCAAGCAATCATAAAGATTTTCATACATATTCAAGGTCTCAAGAACGTTACTTCCCACATACTCTCTTCTCAGACAGCTTCCAGAGGTTAAGCTGTGTCACTGGGGGAGCAAACCAAGAAAGGGGACAGCCCGGGACACAAAAGCAGTTGGTCCAACACAGAAAAGAGGCAGGCGGAATAAAATCCCAGGGGACGACACCGACGGGAGGCCCAGCGTGACAGGCGTGAGGCCGACCGAGCGCGCACCCAGTCCGACCGAACCAGAGGGGTCTGTTCAAAACGCACCCGGTGAGCCTCGTGTTTGAGCACAGGGCACGGGCATTTGCATGGCCTGGCTGGAGGAAGTCCTGGGATGAGTGCAAACTACAGAGAACGCAGAGAAAATACAAAAAGTAAACAGGAAAAGGCTCTTCCTATAGACTGGCTTTGGCACTGACTGGCACTTACACAGGCATAAGCTGCACACGGATTATGCTCAAACTAAAATGAACACACTGGGACGAAAGGTTAAGGGACGTGTGGGCGTGCGGGAGAGGCGATGAAAGTGCTGAGCGCTGAGGTCTCACCTGCTGCAGTGAGACCTTGGCGACTGAAGCTGAAGAACTAAAAAGCAGCCACATAAACCTGTTAACAGAGACATGGACGTCAGTGTGAAAAGAATCATTTCTGCTAACAGCTGAGTGGACGGCTTTAGGGAGCAGGCAAAGGGGCAGGGAGATACAGCTCTGTGGGATCTCTGGACTCTGTGAAGTTTGTATTTAATTAAAAAATATAAAAGGCAACATGACACATCTGCTACTATATAACAATCCACAAATATTCCTGAGGGCTTCCCGGGTGCCAGCGGCTGGGCTAGACCCTGCCGTCGCCACACTGAGGCAGCCCAAAGGCAGCTGGCTGCAGCACATGGTGCTTCACGGAGGCCCTTCCAGGGTCGGCTGAGAGCAGGGCACAAGGACACGGAGAAAACAGCTCATGGTCACGGGACACTGCGCACACAGCCAGGTGAGGCCTGGCTCCAGCAGCCTGTCACTAACGAGGGAAACTTGACAAGCACTTTGAAAGGGAAGACCAGAGGAGGGCAGCAGGAACTGCCCAGGCAACCGGGGGGGTGACTTAAGCAGCGGGTGCTGAGGAAGAGCCTCAGAGCCCGGCCCTCAGGAGTGTCACACTGTGCTGCGGCCCGGATGCTTGGTGATCTCTAGGAAGATGCAGCGCTCTTGGCAGCCCCTGCAGGGAGGGAGGAGAATCGGTGCAAAGCGTTAAGCGTCCCTGATTCCTTCCTCACCCCTCTGGTCACTATGGCTGTCTAAATGCCACGTCTAGCAAACCCTTCTCAGTACTCGCTCTTTGGACATACCTGCAACATTTTCACTCCGACAGCACCTGATCCTTTCTTCTGACGGGCTCTGTTCTGCCCCTGACTTTTGTGACCCTCTGGCCCCACTCTGCCGGCTTCCTCTCCTCCCTCTGTGCTGAGTCCCCTGTGAGCCTGCCTTGGCAATTAAGTTCAGGGAGCGGTTTGGTTCTTGGGATTAGTGCCTAGTTAAAGGGTTTGTAGGCAGGTGGGACAGGAATATTTTTTAAAATGTGATCAAAATAACAATACCAACCACAACAGTATCAACAATGATCAGAGCAACACAACCGTGGGTGCCAATCATGGTGACGATGCTGAAGACACAGCAACCAGCTCAGCACTAACCTCGTCCAAGAGTTCATGGGTCCAGAGAGGAGAAAGGTATCTGACATCCTGTCGGCTTTCATTAGCCAAGTTACAGCAGGTAACCCAAAGAACCGGATCCTGTTTGTAAAACATTCGCTGTTACGTATTCATAACCTGGCCAGGTACAAACAGGCTTTCCAGTGACACGTAGAATAAGACTAAACGTAAATGTGGATGAACAGAAAATGAGACATCAGCACTAAAAACATGACGACTCTACTATATAAAAATGTAATCCATGCCTAAAGCAGCTAAAGTCATTAAAATTGTTGTTTTAATTGCAGTATGCATGTCAAGTATTCAGTCTGTCTTTTCTACTTTCAGAGCAGTTTATAAATCCTTAGGAAAACTTTTATGATAATACTGCTAGGTAAATGCTTAATGGCAAAAATGTATGCAAGTTTCAATCTATAGTCAAGCATACTTATTTAAGCACATATTAAATGAAATATAGTTAACTTATTTTAGAAACCTCACCTTTACTTAAAAGCTGATTTATAACTTTTGGAAAACACATTATAACATCCTTATGCAACTAATAATGAAACATCCCCCACCACGCGACCCAAACCGAAGCGCACGTGACCACCTTTTACAGCGCCTGGGCCTGAAATGCAGTCTGCTCTTCTTCCCTTTGGGAAGCTCACAGCAAGGCTGCGGTGGGCAATGGGGCAGTGGCTGGGGGCCCGGCCCCGCGGAGCAGAGCTGGCCTGTGTCCCTGGTCACTTCCAGAAGGTGCCTCAGTACAGGCCACAGGAAGGCACAGTAAATCCAGTACCTCTGCAGCACCGAGGGGAGCCCTTTGCTAGGTGAGTGCAGCCGGGCCGACCACACGTGGATGTGCCAAACCCCAGCCACCTGGTGTGAAAGGCAAGCACCTCGAGCGACTTCAGTTTCCCCCCAGCTCCTCTTTGTAAGCTTGCTCCAAGCCTCTCAGAATTCGTCTTACCTTGTATTCCGCTGTTTCCTCTTAACCACTAAATTCTTCTTCTGTAGCTCAAGCAGCTCTTAAAATTCCCCTTCTTTCCAAGAAGAGCCCTTGACTTGTTGGAACAGTCATCCTTGAACCACCTCACTTGGGTCTGGGGTTTTGATGTGCCTGCCTCCACTCTCCGGGCCGTGAAAGCACTTACTGGTCTGTGTTGCTTACACTTCATACCCCCTCACGTCCTGAGCTGTGTCACCGGTGCAGGGCCAGCAGCAGTGCGCTCCGCTGGCTGCTGGTGGCGGTGACCTTAAGGAGCCCGACGCCTGAAAACTCTGAGTGCGGCAGAGCCCGCCTTGGCAGCCTGTAGTCTTAGAGATGCCACCGACGCCTCTCTAAGCCTTGATCACCTCATCTGTGACATGCACAAAATACCACCGAGCTCCCAGTGTCTTCCCAAGGCTGCGGGAAGTGCTAAGTGAGATGACTTAGCACAGTGCTAGCAAATGATAAGCCCTCAACAGGAGAGAATTAGCAGGACACCCGACTAAAGCCTTCTGACAACGATTAGACAAACATAAGGTAAACTGGGATTTAAATATTTATTCTGAGTGTTAAAAAGTTATATAGCTAATAAAAATGTCGAAGTAAAGATGCTTAGGGAAAAAATGTCAACTAAATTACATCTTCTATTGAAGACACATTCTTTATTGGCTGAATGTTCTACACTAGATATTTAAAATAACACAAACATTCAGTATTGCAGTTTTATAACTTACTCCATAGCCATGTTAGCTACAATGGTTAATGTGCTTAAGAGAGACAATATTCTTTATATTTCTTAATAAGCTTGGCATTTCAAATAAGGGTATTCTGGTTGAAATAAAGCATATACCAACATCTTTCTCAGCTATTAATTCAGGAGAAAAAAGAGAGAGAGAAACTGCAAACCTAACGCTTTATAGAGGAACAACTCTAGGGCACCTAAAGAGAGTCACCCGCACTGGGAATCTTCGGATTGCCCGTGCTCTGGAGGCCTCATGTTTTCATCGCGGCTGAAGCAGCCTGGAAGCAGGTGAGCTGCAGGTGCATGCTGCTCTTGAACTTGTTCAGCAGCTCCTCCAGGAACCTGCAGGGGCAGAGACGGGTTACAGCCCGACAGAAGGGAGCTCGGGAAAACATGCAGGAAGCCACTGCGCTCTTCACCTACGGATTCTTCACCCAGCTATAGAGATCAGTCAGTCACAGAAGGCAGTAAAAAGGAAAACACATATTTATGTTTATGGAGAAGACTCTCCCTCCTGTTCCCTTGCCCAAGATTAGAGCCCCTTCCTAAAACAGACTGTTTGCACCTGTGCATTTCCTTCACTCACTTTTCAAAAATTTACATACATTGAAACGTTCTTGTTGGTACACAGTTCTCTGCATGCTGACAGACGCATCTTAGCAGCCAAACAGCTCCCAGAGCTGGGACGCAGAACAGGCCCAGCCTCTTCCAAATTCTCTTGGCTGCTGCCCCTTAGCCACCTGTCCCTTTACCCCCACCCCAGGGCATCTACTTTTCTACTCTCCGTTCCTCTTATTTTGTATATACTGACAGGTGGTAACTAAAGCCAGAAGAACCAGGGTTACTTCAAACTCCACTGGGCAAATCATTCTACTACTTGACAATTCAATTTGTTTTCTTAACTGGTCTGATTTGTCCATATAACTTTAGGATCAGAAGGGATCTTAGATTCATCTGGTTCAGATTAAGCAACCAAGAAGTGGGCTGAGGTCAAGAGATGAGTTCATGGTTTAACAATGCTCAGTATTAGGACACTGTCCCACCAGTAAAGCAAATCTATAGGGGAAAAGTACTTTTCTAAATGCTCAAATGTTATAAAATATTCTATTTATAGAAGTAATCTTCTGTTACAGCCAAAGGATTTGCTGTTAGAAATAACTCTTGAGTTTTATGTTGTGCATCTGGGGTTCTAGTTATTTCAGCGCTGGTGTTTTAATCAGCAGCATCACTGTAAGCGGTGCTTCAAAATGTGCACTAACTTGTTGGAGCTATGGCTTTGAACATCTGTGTGATCAGCATGTGGCACTGGCTCCCCATTAGCCAAACGAGTTACTATCCACCCCACCAGTCAGGCAGCAGTTCTGTGAGGCTGAACTACTGTCTGAATACACACACGGTTCAGGGGCTCGGCCTTTATCAGGAAATGACATTCGGCAAGTGGCTGAACATAGAGTTCCGAACGTTAAGGGTACGCTGCAAACAACCAGCCATTACTGTGTGCTTCGCAAGTCCTGAGCAGCTCTGACAAAAGCAGAGCACAAATTAGACACAAAGGATCTTTGTGGCTCTTTGTTCTCTACACTAGATTGCTGTTTGTGTGTGAGAACTGCATTGCTTATGTGGCACACAGTATTTATAACTATATACTTTATAGAGGATACATTAAAGTCACTGGTATACAAATATTCTGTACATATCCTGTGAAATGTGTCCTCACGTGAAATAGACCTGTCTTTACCATACTGAGAGAAAATAAGGGTAATTGTTTTAATCTTTTATCATATTCATTGTGAATAAATGAACATGTTGAGAATCAATTCAGATGAGCCTGAGAGTCAGTGTGGGAAGGAAGTGGGAACATGGCAGACAGGGCTGCGGGGGAGTGTGGCTCACACAGCCACCCCCTGGCCCACTTAGGAGCACACACGGGGCCCACAAGCACATGAGCTGATCTGCTGCGACTCTCCCAAGCCCAGTCCATGTGTCCATGTGACATTCCCCACTCAGTTCAGCCCCACGTGTCCTCTGCCGAGTCTGCACAGCCACCTGTGCTAGATCCCAGGCCGCACCCTGAGTTTTCAGGCAGCTGACCACCACCATAAATATGTTTACGGGCTGACCAGCCCAGTGCAGAGGTGGGCAGACTTCAGTTACCTCAGAGAGTGAGTAAAGGTCTACAATGTTCCCGCTGCCTCAGCTGAGGGTAGGCTGCGTGTTCCTGCAACTGGCCTGGCCTAGATTTTGTCTCAAGTCAGAATTTCCTGTTACACAAGTAGCAAAGTTTAAACTCAGACTGAGACAACCAATACTGTATTAGTGAAACATGTATAACTTTACTATATCATATTTACAAGCCTATTCTCTCTTAGTGCTTTATATTAGGGGAGTACAAAATGTACGCTACTGAGCTACTCAAAGGAAAAAGTGACTGAGCCCTGCATCTTAATACGTTGTCCTCTCTTTTACATTTCTAAGTATTAGCTTCTTAAAAATTTAAGACAGTGATACTGTTCACTGAGTCAAAATAAACTTTCTTACAACGTTTTCTATCCTAGTCACTTAAAACAAGAAACTAGTTTCTAAGTTGTCATGATGCCAGGAGAAGGCTGTGCCGTATCTGCGCTGGGAGACAGCAAGGCCAGCCCAGCACCATGCACCATGCCCGGGCTCAGGGCTGTGCCCACGGCCCCTCCTCAAACCCAGCCCTCCTTAGGCAAGAGCCTGCGGGCTGCCGGCCCCGCGCCCGCCTGCCCCGCGC